CGGGGCTTGGGGGAGGCCGCCGGGGCGGCCGCGGCCGAGGAGGGACAGACGGAGGCCGAGGCGGCGGGGTCAGGCACCCCGGCGGGAGGCGCGGGTGGCGGCCGCGGGGGCTGGCGGCGGCATCCCCAGTGCTGCCCCTGTGCGGCGCCCCTTCCCAGCTCCGCCGCGCACTGTTGTCATGGAGGAACCAAGATGGCGGCTCTGGCCTACAACCTGGGCAAGCGGGAGATCAACCACTACTTCAGCGTGAGGAGCGCCAAGGTGCTGGCGCTGGTGGCCGTGCTGCTGCTCGCAGCGTGCCACGTCGCCTCCCGCCGCTACCGAGGTGAGCGGGCCCTCCCCCTTGCCCGGGACGGCCGGGGGGAGGCGGCGACTGGAGGCCGCCCCCCTCGCCCAACACACGCCCATGCTCCCGCGGACTCCCGCCGGCGGGGGAGGCGATGCCCCCAGGTGTCCACGGCGGCGGGCGGGCGCCCCAGGCCCACTGGGCGGACCCCAGTGCGGGCCCCACAGGACGAGGGCTCGTGATTCTACCCCCACAACCCACACCCCGAGCAGCCGGCGCTGGGGTCTGGGTCGCCAACCCCGACCTGGCCCAGGGGCTGCCGAGATCCGGCTCCTGTGCGAGGTGGCCCGAGGGGGACGCGCCAGGCCCGGGGCTCGCTTGCAGGACGTGGGACAGGCTGCCCTCGGGGGCAGCTCGGGACGCGTGACCGTGAAGGTCTCCTGCAAGGGGCACCTCTGCCAAGAGAGGGGTCACAGAGTGTGCTTCTTAGGGGCCCGGCTCTTTAGCCTTTGTTTAGCTCGGCCTCTGCCCTGCAACAGCAGGGCCGAGCTGTTGGACAGCGGCAAGGGCTGCCCCATTTTCCTTTGCCAAAAGCGACAGCTGGCAAAAGATGTCTGTGGCCAAATGGAGGGGGTGCCACCCAGCCTTTGTGATTGAGAGACGTTTAAAAGGTTTGGGTTGCACACTTTTGACAAAGTAAAGGCGCTGAGGCAGATTTTTGGAAAGAAGTTATGGGTTGACAGGAGTAGAGGTGGGCGTGAAAGCCAAGTTGTAAGCAGTTTGAAAGCAGGCCTTCTCTATGGGTTTTGAAACTGGTGTTAAGGGGAAAAGGAAATATGGTCTTATTTCAGAAGAAATTATCTTACAGTTGAAGGGAAATTTACTCATCCTTGTTGATTGATTTTTTTTGTATGTGTGTGTAAAAATGTCACTAGGAGAGAGGCTGATAGGCAGGGGGAAATTAATAATGATAGGATATTTTATTTTGGGCTATTAGTACTATCAAAGCCATTATCTGGATAGCTCTTGGTGACTGCCAGCTTAAGTAGTCAAGATGTAATGTGTAATAGACAGGTGCTCATTAACGCTGTGTCCATTTAACTTTGTGTTCATAACTGTGTCCATACCCACTTTGGCAAAATATCCAATAAACGGAGTACTGGAATCTGAGCTGTCTTCTCCTCCCAGAAGATCTTTCAAAGTATAGAGCATTTTGATCAGTTTTGCTGCTTTGTTTCCTCCAACTCTTGAAGATTAAAAACTTTATACTCTAATATCATACTGGATGAACAGCTTTTAACATAAATATACTAAATTGATATAGAGATTCTTTATACTTTTTTGGCCTCTCTTCTGCAGCCCCCTTCTGATCACAGCCATATGACCTGGCAGAACTTTGGTTCATTTGCAGTCCCTGTAATAGAAGTTCAACACTTCTTTCATGTGCAGAATAAAACTAGTAATGTTGATACATTGATTTATGTTAATTTTGTGGAAATATTTCTTTTAACTACTGTTAGTCATTTTATGCTAATTTGGATAAGATGATAGTAATCTTACTCAAGTTTCTGCATGTGATGGTAGTAGAGATAAATTTTGTAACTGCTGTGCTATTGTCCTAAAGGTAAACATCTAGTTTACCACTCCCTTTTTTAAATTGTGCTTTTTATTTTTAATTGGAATACTATCTTTTATATTTAGATTATATATTTCATCTTATCAAGATCTGTCATCAGCAGGGAGAATAGAATGTCAGATGGGACCTTATGAGTCAGTGAAGCAATCTGGGATTGTTTGTAAAGCCTCCTCCAGAAGCAGCGTCATCAGTTTCCGTAGGTACTTCAGTGCCTTAAGTGTGAAGCAGTACACCTGGTGTGTGTACTTGCTCAGACTGAATGTCAAGAACTTGAGCCAAAGACTATTTGGAAAAAATAAACACCTTACCAGGAACATTTTAGCCATCCTCATGCTGTGGCAGTGTCAAACTAAGTCAGGTACAATACCCTTCACAAAAATAACCATACACTTCAATCACATCATAAATCTTTAAAATAAGAAAGGACCTTATTATATTAGATGAGGGGGTTTAGGCTGATATTGAGATTGGAAATGTGTGGGTATGAGTGTGCCTCAGGCAAGGTAGAGTAAATGCTGTTTGAATACACATTCAGTATCTCTTGCCTTACAAATTACAGAAAGTGAAAGAATTGTACACTACAGAAAGTAAAGCTTGGCAAATACTGTGTGCTAACAATGAACACTTACATGCCAGGGACTCCTACTGAGGGTTTTACATGTTTTAACTAATTTTGTTTTTACAACCATTCTATGAAGTAGATACAATTACCATATTTCATTTCCCCTTTCCCCCATTTTTAACCTCTCTGTAATCAGGATGAGTCTTCAAAACTTTGATTGTATGTCAGAGTTCAATGGGTGACATTTTTTCGTACCATGACATAAAAATAATGATGTGTTTTATAATCAGTGGTCTTAGATGCAGTTAATTACAGTATTATTTACATTTTAAAGACGAGGCATGAGAGGTTAAGTAATTGCTTAATGATGCACAACTAGTCAGTGACTGAGCTAGGGTTTAGAACCCAGTTATACCTTTATGTCATAGTCTGCCTTTCTCAGAGCTTCTTAGAGGTGGGGATGTACAGAAGATGGAGTGAGAAAGCGTTTTCCAGGGAGGCATGGGTTAAACAATTTAGAACCACTAATTCAACCTTGAAGTACCAGCCAAGAGTTTTCCTATTCTTTTTCCAGTCAAGAGGTAATTTTCTTAAACTTATATGTGTGAAACTTTAAAATCTGACCCCAGCCTACTTTTTGTTATAGGTGTTTTTCCTTATTTTTCCTGAATTCCAGGTACAGTCTAAACATGCTTTGCCTTTTTACACATTTCACAGATATCTGATTTTCTCTGCCTGCAGTGACCTCTCTCCCCTTGAAAGAAAGTACAGGTTTTTCCTTCAAGGCCTGGTTCAGATGTTACCACTACAGAATCAGGAATTAGGAATTCAGTTCTGCCGCAGCAACTTGTACATACTTATCGTGTTGTATTGTGATAATTGGTATCTGCCTCCTCCACATGAACTGTGAGCTTCCAAGACTATCTTATTCATCTTTAAATCGTCAGAGCCTAACACACAGTAGGAGCGCCATAAATAACTATTGGGAAAATAGATTTTCAAAGTCCTTATTTCCTTCTGTTTTCCTCCCTGCATTTGATTCTTTTGTGGCTTTAATTGAATTTTATGTTTTAATCTCAATTTTAGAAAGTAGATTTTTTTTTTGCAATATTATTATTATTTTCTTGTAACATAGTGGAATGACATTTTAAAAATATTCTCAACAATATTTTTTCTAAATTTTATCAATTTCTAACATAACTGAGTCACAAAATGACCATTAATAATGTGATTACAGATTAAAAACATCATTTCTGTGATAAGAAGCCAGTACCCGTAGTCTTTAGATAGTTCCAATCTGGATAAATTTTAATTTTTAAATTGATAAAGTTAACTTACTTCAAATGCCTTAATTCTGTTGAAATCAAATTCCTTTCTGTCACTAAGCTTATTAAATGCCAATGTTTAATATTATTGCATGTTTTGGAGAAAAGTAAGTTGAAAACTTCAGAAATTAAAGCAAGAAAGAAGCTCTAGGTCTTTTAGACTTTTCTTTGACTGCTGAAAAGATCCTGATATATATCATACCACTTGTAATGAGACACACATAGCTTGTCTAAAGAAAAACTTAAATGGTGATTTTTCAGCACAGACTAAAGTATAAAATGCTGAATTATAGGCAAACAAAATATTCTGCAGACCATATTGTAAACTTTATGATTTGGCATTTTCATGGTTGGTAGTAGGAAACACACAGCTTTAGTAGGCTGATTCAGTCTAAAGGCGCAATGTGCCAAAGGTATTCTTTTCAAATGAAAATATGTTATGGTTTATTTATGACATCAGATGTTTTCTTTAGTTGTTAGATTTGTTTTTCAGCTAGTTTTTTTTGTTGTTGTTGTTTGCTTGCTTGCATTATGTCTTTTCTTTTAAATATCTTTCTATTATAGAAAAATCATGCATGCAAATCTGAGGCTGTAGATTGCCAAACCATATATTTAAATAACGGAATAAAGAGGAAGACAGCCATTTATGCAGATAATCTTACCACTGGAGATAGCTGAAGTAGATAATTCTATCCCTTTAGTTTCTATGTTATTGTGTTCCTAGCTTGATTTATCTGAGCACTTGGCAACTTTCATCTCACCACTGGTTATGTTAAGAAGCTATCAGAATTATATTAGGCAATTGAAAACAATGACTGGGGTTTTGTTTTGTTTTTGGTAAGTTTAGAAAGGAAAATATGTGCCAGCAGATATTTACATGTAGTTTGTATACATCATAAAAATGTGGTACATTATCTTAGCACCTAGATTCACATTTAGTGATTTGATCCAAAAAATATTTCCTTCCCAAGAAAAGAGAACTTGTTTAAGAATATGGAATTTTGGGGCCAGCCCCGTGGCTCACACTGGAGGGTGCGGTGCTGATAGAGCCGAAGCTGCGGGTTTGGATCCTATATAGGGATGGCCAGTGCACTCACTGGCTGAGCATGGTGCTGACAACACCAAGTCAAGGGTTATGATCCCCTTACTGGTCAAAAAAAAAAAAGGAATATGGAATTTTGTGGAGTTTTCTAGATCAGGTTAATATATTTTTAATCAGATTATAATAGTTTTTACTACTACTATTTTTTTTGTTGACAAATATTAAAAAACCACTCTCCTTTGACTTTTCGGTTATCTAGTTAGCATTTCTTTTACTTCTCTAACAGTTTTTTATATTAGATTACCTGTCTTAAAATAACTGGTATAGTTTCTGTCTTCTGATTGGACCCTAACTACTGATACCTAACTGTTATGACTATTAATTTTAGATACAAGGCTTGTAAGAAACAAAACAAAAAAACCTTTGCATTATGAAATATATTAAGAAGTGTTATTATCAACTAGCATTCATTAGATTAGCAAATTAAGAATTTCTTCCCTGGAAAGACCACTGGTCTCTAAAATACTGTGTTTACAATGCCTTTTGGTTAGTGATAACTTCAGATCTATTTTGCTATGGGGTTTTGCTAGTATGAATTCATCAGATTAGAACGTTGTTTCCCATTAGCTGAACTACGGAAAAACATGGTTGTGAGTAAGTAGTACTGAGGAGGAAAAGAACTTTGCATTTTAAACACATTTTCTGCTGTAGAGAAGAGACTTTTTTGTTTAAAGATTTTGATATGGCACTTCTGTCTCCACAAAATCATATATTGATAACCATGTAAATGCATAACAAATAACATAGTACTGGACAGTGAAGATTGATCAAGGTGTGTTTCTATTTGGGCTTTTATTAAAAAGCAAAAATCAAATAATAACCAAAAAAAAGGAAGAAAATCCCCACAGAATTAATAAACAGTTATTTGCAACTTATACCTTTTTTAAAAAGTAAATGTATTACTAACTTTTAACTTGGTTTAATAGATGTGTTTAAAGAAGTAGAAATGCTATAAATATGGAATTTTTAATCCTAATATTAAATATTTACTAGATTTTTAATAGGGTTTTACTATACAATCACTATAGATGAATGCTGCAGGAGGGTTGTTTTTAGGAAAATAACTTAATTGTGTGTTCTTACAGTTTTTTCTTTACTTATCCTTGGTTATTTATGCAGCTTAATTTTGTTTTTTTAGCACTAGAATTAGTTTTTAATAATTGGAAAGAATTAAGAACTAGTTATTTATAGTTTACTTAGAAACAGGTTATTAAAAATTTTTGGAATACAAACACATCTGCTCAGGCTACATATATAATTACTAAAATTTAATAACTGATATCCTTCTTTCCTTATCCAGTTTTCCACCTACAAGGTAATGCAGCATTTTCACTTTTCCTTCCTGTTTTATTTTAGAATTTGTGACATTGGAGCAACAACTCTTTCGGTATTTATACATACCCGTCTTGCATTTGTACCTCCTTTTGTCTGTATTTTGTCCAGATCAATGAATAACTGAGTTGAGGAAAGAGATGTGTTCTTCTACTTTAAAAATGTTTGGGTCTTCTATGTTTCCACCCTGGATGGCTCAATACCATTTTTGTTCTGTAGTATTCTTTGAAGCCTGACCTTAACTAATCATAAAACAAATATAGCTTGCTGTTGACCATTAATAAAGAACTAGAGATTAGATTAAATAACACATATATTTTATAATCCCACAGTTAATATAAACATCTCATTTTTTTCCTTCATTCTTTTGACATACTTGAGCTTTTTTAATGCCTCCAAACCCTTTTTAACCCATTTGGTCATGTTTATTTAGCTAGCGTACAGTAAAATGGCCAAAGGAAGTCTTGGTGTACATGGGACTGAGGGGTTTTCTAGTATGGAACTTTCTGTTTAAAACCAGGTTTTTAGACATGCTAATGTATTATGTATTATAATAGTCCAATAAGAAGTAATTTCTAAAGTCTTCTCTTTTATCCTTTAAACTTTTATTTCCCAACTAGAAATAGAAGTGATAAACAGATGTAAAGGCTAGTTTGAAGTTGAGATGATGTCCCTAGAAAGAAAACCTGAAGCAGAAGGAATTGCCAAAGCAGTGAATGTAGCATTTAGGAGTTAGGAGTCTCTCTCACAGGGTAAAGTATAAACCATTAGTGGCTCTTATCCTCTTGAATATTAATGTATTAATATACACCATGCTTCTCATAAATGAGTGATATGCACCTGGAAGGTATAGTGAAGCATAGAGAACTGTGTTCTCTGATCTCAAGGAGCATTAATGGGTTCGCAACAACATATAACAGTTTTAACTATTGTTTACAACACTGTTGTGTTTAACTCCTATAGGCAATGATTCATGTGAATACCTACTCTCAAGTGGCAGATTTCTTGGAGAGAGAGTTTGGCAACCTCACAGTTGTATGATGCATAAATACAAAATTAGGTAAGATTTCTTTATTTTGTTGTTTGTTTTCTTTTCTAGGATGGGTCTTATATTTAGTTGTTAGGGCTTAGTGAAACAAAGAGAGTGCTTTTCTCCTGAATATGGTGGTAGAGACTTGCTGACTGAGGGTAAAGGTGGGCTGATTCCAAATGAAGATTTCTGCCCTACAGCTTCAGGCAAAGGGCTTTAGCCTCCTTGCTTGATCTCAGGTGAGACATAACCAGGCCCAAGACAATAGCCCTTTTTTATTTTGGCTATGTTTGTTTTTTTTTTTTTTTTTCCAAAATATTTTAACATTTATTTATACAGTATATTGTTTCAATACATGCATGTACTACACAATGATTAACTTAGGATAGATAGCATAGCTTAGTACCCATTAGTCCCACAAAGGACTCTTGCTCTGTGACTTGGATACCTACCTTATGTAGTTATTCTGAGGACTAAGAGATAATGGATATAAAGCACTTAATATAGTTAGAGTACATCATAAACATCTAATGAATCAGTCTGTTATCATTAGGGAGTTAGCTGATCATACATACATGGATTTGTAAGTTAAACAAACCTGGCCACCTGCTTCTAAAGCAACATAACCATGTGCAACTTTCATTATAAGCCATGTCTTTGAAATGCCAATATGCTGATTTTACTTATTTTAATTAAAGTTTCTTTGTTGATTTCAGTGAAGCAAAGAACTGCCTTGTAGATAAACATATTGCATTTATTGGAGATTCCAGAATTCGTCAATTGTTTTATTCTTTTGTAAAAATAATTAATCCCCAATTCAAAGAAGAAGGAAATAAGGTAAAACTTGTCTATTCCTTTCTCCAGGGTGTTGTTTTAGAAATCAGCCAACTGAATAATTGTGGTAGGAATATGCCTCTCCAGATTAACAGTAGGGACTGTAAAAGTTTTACTTTGATTTTGGGAAAGGTAGGGGGAAAAGGGGTGATTTGTATAGTGAGGAACATAAGAAAAAGAAGTGGTTGGAAAGATATTGGCAAGTTTTTTATTAACTTAAACTTTTAGTTTTCTTAAATAAATTCTTACCATGAAAAAACTTTTTAAAAATTTTTAGAAAAAAGACAGAGGAAATATCCCTTATCCTCCTGTAGATATTTTGCCATATTTCTTCTCAGTCTGTTTTTTTTAAGACATACTTGTAATCTTTTAGCAATTTTACATCTTGCTTTTCCCCCACCATTTATCATAATTCACCATATTATCATATAATCAACTTAAGGATCTTCTTAATGGCAACATATTATTGAGTGGATGTAATGTAATTTTATATAATCTTTCCCCTTTTTTCAGATTTCTGTAGTTTTCTAATTTTTTTTTTGCAATAAAAAAGGACGTTTTTCATTACTTCTTTGTGTGAAAACTTTTGCTTTTTAATTTATTTCCTTAAGATGGAATCTCTGTAATGCAAATATTAGGTTAAAGAATATAAATATTTTTAAAATTATTGATTATATTGCTAAATTATTTCAATTTGCACTCTAGCAATATATGTTGGGGCCTAATTTTCTGCAACCCTTCTGGCACTGGGCTATCATGCTGTAAATCAAAACAACAGTGCTGTCGGGGCCGGCCCGGTGGCGCACTGCTACAGTGCGCCGCTTGGGAGCGCAGCGGCACTCCCGCCGAGGGTTCGGATCCCACATACAGACCGGCTGCTCACTGGCTGAGCGAGGTGCGGGCGCAACACCGAGGGTTGCGATCCGTTGCCGGTCACGAAAAAAGACAAAAAGGAAAAAAAAAAACAACAGTGCTGTCCATTTCTGCTATTTTGATAGAAAATTTCTCATTTAAAAAATATATCTTCAAACAGCATATGGTCAGGAATGGGGAATGGCAAGGGGAGAAAAGTGGAGGACAAGAAAGTTCAGAATTGTAGGTGGAGTAACTCATGGATTTGTGATGAAAATCTGCCTGTACACATCAACTTGCCCTGTTGTGGGAGTTGAAAAATTAGGGGCTTCACAGCTAAGTAGCTATTCACATAGTGGTGATGATAGAGGGTCCTTAAATTCTTAGGAACTATTCTTTGTGAGAATAATGGAAAACAATAAAGTCAACTTTTCATTTCATTTGATATCAATAAATGTATTTTCCATTTGTATGTATACACACAAAATTACACAGAAGAGTTGACTATTTAATAGCATGAAATTATAATAGTTTAAAGTAAAAAAACTTTAGTAAACTTGTAAAAAGTAGAGAGATTTCTGATTTCATAGAAATAGTTTTAATATTTCTGGGCTTAGAATCGTTTGACTTTCTGAAAATTGGAATAATGGATTTAGCAACAATTAGCTGAAAAAAGCTGTAATGGTTTAGTCTACAGCCAGAAGTAGATATAATATGGTACATTGTTTCTTTCTTTTTTTATTTTTTTAAAAGATGACCGGTAAGGGGATCTTAACCCTTGACTTGGTGTTGTCAGCACCACGCTCACCCAGTGAGCAAACTGGCCATCCCTATATGGGATCCAAACCCGTGGCCTTGGTGTTATCAGCACCACACTCTCCCGAGTGAGCCACAGGCCAGCCCCTGAGCCCTAGTTATAACATTTAGGTTTACAGTTTTTATTTTCTAGAGGTGCCCAGTTATCCCAAAATTATCAAACAAAATACATTTTAACTTATACGTATTCAAAAAAGAAGTGAGTAAAGACAGTGTGTCCTAGTCTTAAAGAGATAGTTATTTTTATAAGAAAATATTTAGTTCAAACTTCTAGTGGAATATTTGCCAAATTATATATATATATATTTTTGTCTTTTTGTCTTTTTTCGTGACCGGCAACGGATCGCAACCCTCAGTGTCGCGCCCGTACCGGACCGGACCGGCAACGGGATCGCAACCCTCGGTGTTGCCCCTGCTCCTCGCTCAGCCAGTGAGCGGCCGGTCTGTATGTGGGATCCGAACCCTCGGCAGGAGCGCTGCCGCGCTTCCCAAGCAGCGCACTGCAGCAGTGCGCCACTGGGCCGGCCCTTGCCAAATTATATTTTATATATTCTCTTGTCTCTGCACACCTCAAGGACACAGATTGCGTATCATTTTTTTTTTTTTTTAAATATACTTTTTGTGCCTAGTACTGTCTGGCATATTGTAAAAGTGCATTAAGTTTTTTAAGGAATAGGAGTGTTGAAGATAATTCTTTGTTTGAATTTAATTTGTATTCTGTATCAAGGCAAATTTTTTTAAAAAGAGTCTAGAGCTAGATTTTTTTTTTTTCTTCCAAATTGTACTTAGTGGAAGACTAGTTCTTTGAGAAGCTCTTGTCAAATGAATTTGGGCAGAGCTGAATATCCTATCTCCCTCTTAGATGACTTTAATTTAGGCTAGGATATTAAAAACTTGAGAAGTTTTGCAGTAAAGAAACCAATTTTTGGTTGCTTCCAGCCCTACGGCAGGCTAGATATACTGGGGGCATCTTCTCCTTCAAACCAACAAGATTCTAGATTTTAAAAAATACTGTTGAAGTTATTTCTCGACTTTGAGGAAATAGGAGACACTCCTCAAAAAAGAAACTATGAGACAAAACCAGAGATGAGAGCAATGATGATAGGCAAGCAGTAGAGTTTTGGGTTCCCCTGAAGGCAGATGCCAATAGCTGTAATTCCCTGGATGTAGAAAACTTAGCTTTGGGCCAGTGTATTTCTCAACAGCAACACTGGAAGCCAGAGGACAGTAGAATAATAGCTTTAAAGTTCTCAGAGAAAAGTAATTTCAACCTAGAATTGTATACATAGCATAAAAATTTCTCTATTCTTGAAATATAGGACATTTTAGATATACAAAAACTATGAGGGTTTACTACCAAATAGACTTATACTGAAGGAGTTTCTAAAGGAAAAACATCAGGATGGAGAGAAATATTCAGAAAAAATGTTCAAAAATATAAGAAACAGTGATTAAAGAAAACAGTGAACATGTATGTAAATCTAAATAGTGTATGTATACAATAGTAATGTCTTTTTGCACTTAGTGAAAATATGTTTTTCCAAAGCATGCATGGAACATTTTTTGACCACATATTATATCATTAAGTCAGTCCCAACAATATCAGAGAGTTGGTATCATTCTTTCTCTTTTACATAGGTTGCTTTATATTCCAAACTTAAAAATTTCTGATAAAAATTCTAGAAGCTTACAGTAAATGTTAATAGTGAAATGTTAGACAAATTTTTATTAAAATCAGAAAAAAGACAAGATTGTTTATTATTGCTGCTTCTATTCAGCATTATATTAGAAGTTCTGGCTGAAGAAAATTTAAAGATGTAAGGATTAGGAAGGAATAAACTCAGGAGACCATATACAATTCTCTACATAGAAAATCCCAGAGAATCTCTAGAAAATTTACTAGAAGTAACAAAGATTTTAACAAGGTCACTGATTATAAGATGAACGTATAAAAATTAATGACACTATCTCAGTAAAGCTGTTGAGGGCTGAGCCCATGGCACACTCAGGAGAGTGCGGTGCTGGGAGCACAGTAGCGCTCCCGCCGTGGGTTCGGATCCTATATAGGGATGACCAGTGCACTCACTGGCTGAGCACAGTGCGGCCGGTCTCAAAAAGGACAAAAAAAAAAAAAAAAAATGTTGAAAATTAATTGCATATCTATATGCCAGCAATGTAGAGTTCAAAAATGTTTTTAAAATATACCATGTGCAATATTAACAAAAATTATATGTTACATAGAAATAAACCTAGCAAATGTGGAAGATCTTTATATAAGACTTTATTGAAAGTTTAAAATGACATAATTAAATGGAAGATATATACTATATCCCTGGATGGGAAGACTCAATATTGTAAAGATGTGAGCTATTTCCAAATTGATCTGTAGGTTCAATGTAATTCCAATAAAATCCCAACAGGATTTTTTATGGAACTTTAGCAATTGATTCTACATTTTATGTGGAAGGGCAGTGGACCAAGACTAGCCATGACAAATCTGAAGAACAAGACTTCTTCTACAATATTAAGGTTTATTTTGACTCTGTAGTAATTAAGACAGTGTGGTATTGGTGTAAAGTTAAACAAAGAAGCCAGTGAAATAGAATATAGAGCTCTAAAATTGACATATGCATATACAATGACTTAATAAGTAACAGATATGCCACTGAAGATCCTTGGGAAAAGGAAGTTTTATTCAATTAATGGTGCTGAGGCAACTGGTTATGTGCATGGAAAAATTGAAGTTGGATCCCTACCTCACACCATCAATTAAAATAAATTCTAGATGAGTTTAGACTGAAATGTGGAAGTCAAAACTTTGAAACCTTTAGGGAAAAAAATGTAGGAGAATATCTTCATTACCTCAAGATAGGGGAAAGTCTTTTACATAAGAACCAAAAAGCATTAACCATAAAATAAAAGATGAATAAGTTCACATACCTTAAGATTAAGAGTATGTGCTCATCCACAGATACTTTTTAAAAGACAAGCTACAAACTGAGAGAAGATATTTGCAATGTATATCCAAGAAATAAAATGAACTACAAATTAATTTTTAAAAAGACAACCCAATAGACAAAAAAGAAAAGGAGGGAGGAGGTGTTAAGCATGACCAAGCATTTCAGAAGTGCAAGCATGAATCCTGATGTAAATCTGAAAGATGTTTAATGTCATTAGTAATCAGGGAAATATGAATTATGACCACATGCGAGATACCATTTTATACCTAGACTAATGCCAGAAATTAAATCTGACAATGGCAAAAAAATATGAAATCTTTTTGTAAATACAAAAACATGTGTTAGAGAGGCTCTGTATCAATAGATGTCTTATAAACTGCTGCAAAGAGTGCAAATTGTTACAAACACTTCAGAAAATAATTTGCATCATCGTGTGAGGGTGAATATTTGTGTAGTCTGTGGACCTATGGAACTGTTATTAAGGAAACTCTTACTCTTATTAAGTGATATGTACAGGAAGGTAACCATCAGTGCTGTTTATAATCTAGATTGTGGTGTATTGTATCAACTAATGTAGGCTCTACAAAAATAATAAATATAATATTTGATATATATTGATATGATAAATTGATTGATATATATACATTTTTGAAGGCCAAGGAATGTTTTAGATCAAATGAGGCTAAAGAGACAGGACAACTAAATGTAATATCTGATTTTAATGGATTCTAGATTAAAATATAGGAGGTATAGAGAGGACGTTAGTGGGAAATTGGGGAAATTTGAATATGGACTATATATTAAATTACATAATATTTTATCAATGTCAAATTTCTTAGGTGGGATTATAATATTGTGGTTATGTAGGAGAATGTTCATGTTCTCAGGAGATATAGGCTTAAGCATTTAAGGGTGAAGTGTTACATCTGCAATTTACTTTTACATAGTTCAGCAAAAGAGAAAAACTATGTATATGTGTGTGTAGAGAGAGGGAGAGAGATGAAGCTGGCATAGAAAATGTTAATGATTGGTAAAGGGGTTTGGGTGTTCATTTAATTCTGTCAACTTTGCCATAAGTTTGGCATTTTTCAAAATTAAAAACTGGAAAGAAAGCCAACAATGCTAAACAATATATCATTTAAAGATGCATATATATATGTGATAAAAACTATACGGTAAAAAAACAAGCAACATATAAACAAAATTCAAGGTAGTGGTTTTTTGGGAGGGCGAAGCAGGGAGTTAAGACAGGGAGGGGACCACATGGGTCGTTTACTGTGTTGGTAATGCTCTGATTTGTGTCATGGATTAATGAGTATTTATTTTTTACTGTGCTTTATGACTTTCATATTTGTGCCATATTTTTAAATGTTACCTTCAGATACTAAAGAAATTGAGTTGAATTAATTAAGCTATACTAAAGGAGGGGAAAAGTTCTTTGTTATATCTCTGAGAATGAATTTTTTAAAAGATTGGGGGTGAGGTAAGAGGAGGAGAACAGCTGTGTGATTTTTGTTTGACCTAGTAGTTCCCAGACTTATTTGATCAAGGAAACTCTTTTCATTTAACATACCTTAAAGTTATGTTGAATTAATGTTCCAAAGATTCCTTTCAGGAAATGATACTTTAGGAGGACCAGCAAGAATCTAAAAAGTTAGCCTGTTGATAAAAGCAAACTTTAGTTTATTGAGATTTAAATGTAAATACTATGTTAAATTAATGAAAACACTTCATTAGTTTTAGGAACAGAATTAGCTTCTTTATTGACCACCCTTTCCCCTACCCTCGCCCTGCAGGAATTCTAACTCTGAGAAGATTTCCATTCTTTATATGGAACTCTTGGTTATAAAAAGTGCAGTCTCCAAATTTTAATTTTTCCTGTAAATGAACTATTTATTGTCTTTAAAGTGAAACCTACAGTAATCTAGAATCATATACATATGTCCATTCCTGTACAGTCTGGGCCTGTGCTAATATACAGATGAGAATGGATTAGATGTTGCTGCCACAACAAACTACTACAATCTAACAAAACAGAAATTTAACCTGGAAGTGACTTATGTCACATCTAGCTGCATTGCATTGGCCAGAACTAATCATGTGGCTCTGCCTAATTGGAAGAGACTCAGGAAATGTAGGGAAGCAGTCTCTGCCATAGAAAGTAATACTAGGACTAAATTAGAATCCTGGCAAGCTTGGCAAAAAGATAATTTATACAGGCATGTTCATGTATCTGCTTGTTTGTAATTGAGGTTTTATCTTTGAACTACATCTTAGATGTTGAAAGTCACATATAAACAATTTAACTAGTGTCACTTCTTTTATCGTATTCTATGTAGGGTTTTTTCCACTTCAGGTTGACTGTATAATTGAGGTTTGGTGCATAAAAACAAACCAGCAAAAGCAGCTAAAAGGGGAATTATTTATATATATTTAATCCATACATTAATGTTGGGTGTTCTCTGTTGTCTCCATTTTTATGGCAGCATGAAAACATTCCTTTTGAAGACAAGATTGCATCTGTTAAAGTGGTAAGTATATATATCCCAGTAGACTGAATTTTATAATGTTGAAACTATATTCACTAGTTAATTTAGTTGTAGACCAGCTAATGCTTTGTGCATACTAAATACGTTTCAGTGTATTCCCTGAGAGTAGATAAGCATAGTAAGGTAATGGAATAAATGTTCCCAAAATGTTTTATGTAATAAAATAGAAAATTTGGTCTCTCAAATTTTTATCTGGGAAAAAATAATCTTGGACATTAATTTGAAACCAGTATGTGTTCAGGATTAATGTTCATAAAAGAATATATGTAAATTTTCTGAATTCCCAATCACGGTGAGAATTCAGTGGGGATCAAGACAAAAATGTCATTGACCTAATGGAGCTTTCAGGTTATTGTAGTTCTCTACATGCAAATACAAGTGGAATAAGGATGGCAGAAAAGAAAAACATAGGGCATCAGGAATGCATAGAGCAAGGAATTGAAAGTAGTCTTCCTCCTTGAAGAAGTCATGTTTTAACTGAACTCTCAAGGATAGATAGGAGTTAGCCAGACTCAGTACGAGCATTATGGACACAAGGAACAGCACGTGCAAAGTCCTAGAGAAAAAAGAGCACATAGAACTTTCCTGGAGCTGAATGAGAACTGAAGGTACATAGAGAGCAAGAGGAAAAGTGGCAGGAGAAAAGGCAGAAAGGACAGGCAAGGGCCGGAACCTGCACCTCCTCAACAATTTTAAGGACTTTAGATTTTATTCTGAGGGCAACAGAAAATTCCTGAATATTTAAGCAGGTTGTGGCAAGATCAGTTAAATTTATAAAAGATTACTCTGGCTAAAATGTGAAGAATAGATTAAATGAAGGCAAAATTGGATACAAGAATCATCATGAGATGCTTGCCAAATTGAGATGGGAGATGACCAAAGTCATTTTCTATTTTTAAGTACTATGAGAGAATGTTAATGTTTATTTTGAATGGTGGAAAAAGTTTATTTGACTTTTTGTTTGCTTCTAACATTTCTCTTTTAGGATTTTCTGTGGCATCCAGAAGTTAATGGTTCTATGAAACAATGTATCAAAGTGTGGACTGAGGTCTGTATTTGAAAATATAGGCCTTTTTTTGAGCAACCAAATTTTAAAAATTTACAAGTATCTATTGTTTTTCTTTCCTTTCCTCACCTGTCCTACTCTCCTATAGTTTATGCCCAACTTTCGCGATAGCAACTCATTTGTGCTAGACTGATTCTAGCACTTTACTGGGAAGAGAAAGTATTGATCCAGTATCTCTACCCTGCTATCACCGTTCTTACCCTAAAGCAGATTATGCTTATACCAGAATTTCCAGACTTACAATTTTTTGTTACTGCTGTAGCTCAGCTAATTCAAACCAAGATAATCTCTCCAGCACAGTACACATTCTCTTCAGCATTTTTCCACTTCATCCTTTAACCCATGCCCAGGTACTTCAGAAAACTTTTTTTTTTTTTAATTTATAGCCTTTCTTCCCTTTCATCCTTACATTTGTAGCCCAGCAGACAAGACTAGTATGTTTTAGCTCATAACATTTGGAGATAAATTAGATATAAGGGTAAGCACACTGTTAACTTCAGAAAATCCTTAAATTCTTACAAGTCTACTTTATAGTCTTCCACAGTAGTTTTCATGTAGCCCCTTGTCATTCCTTTAATTAAACCTGTATTCTTTCCCAGAGGCATTTGCATTGGGATGGATAAAACAATATTCAATTTTGTTGACCTTGTTTTGCTTAATTACGTGTTCTGCAACAGTATTTCTTTTTCTCTTTTCACAGAAAGTGTTGTACTGCAGCCACATCATACAATAATAGGCTTTTGTAGGGCCCCATGGAAACTTAGCCACCATTTTAAATTTTGTTTCTTTGGGAAAATGTGTTCAGGTTTCCAAAAAACAAACATGTAGACAGCTCCTAGAATTCAACTTTATGATAAATTGGGATCTGCACTTATTGTGTTTTGTTTTTATTGACACATTTTAAAATGTCTGGAAGTGAAGAATGTTCTGTGTATGTTTAAAATGATTTAAACATATGTTCATTATCTGTGCTGGACCTGAAAGTATATTAATTGAAGTAGTAGAAATTCACAGTTAAGCAAACATCAACGTAGTGTAATATATAAATCCCGTTAGATTACAGAAAAATTTTAAGTTATTTGCTAACCTGGACATACATTGCATATCCAGATTTTCAGTTCATATAATTTGTTAAAACTAGTTTTTAAGCCCTAGATTCTGTTGTAAAATTCCCGTGATTTGGAGGAGAAAAAGAAGATTCAACTTTTTTTGGTAGATGGACATGTAGTCACCTAAGATTGATTAGTTAACTGTTTTCATTCATTCAGGGAGTATGTATGTATGCACATGTATATGAATTTATTTTTAACCATGGTTAACTGCTAGATCATGAGAATGCAAAGACCCACATTTTCATTATTATTGTACTATTGCTAGTTTTGTGCTGAGTATTAGGAATGTGGCTGGGAATTAGCCCCAGTCTCAGCCCTCAAGGAATTTGCTGTCTAGTACATAGTGACTTACTGATGAATAATGATATGGTAACTCAAAGGCTAAAACAGAATTGAGTACAAAGACATATGAAAGCACCATGGATAGAGGCATTTAGGATGAGGGGTAGTGTGAGTATAGGTGATCTAAGAAAGTTTTACAGAGGAGATATTTTCAGAACTATGGTTTAGAAAGATACACTCATTAACTGGAACAGCCTATAGACGTAAAAGCAAAGTTGAATTGAAAGGACTAAGTAGAGGGCCGGCCCGGTGGCGCACTCGGTAGTGTGGCACTTGGGAGCGCGGCGGCGCTCCCGCCGAGGGTTCGGATCCCATGTAGAGACCGGTCCGCTCACTGGTTGAGCACGGTGCGGGTGCGACACCGAGGGTTGTGATCCTGTTGCCGGTCGTGGTACGGGCGCGACACTGAGGGTTGCGATCCCGTTACCGGTCATGAAAAAAGACAAAAAGGAAAAAAAAAAAAAGAAAGGACTAAGTAGATTGTTATTCAACAGATATGTAGAAATCACCTGTCATATTCTAGGCACTAGGCTAGACACTGTTGATACACAGGTTACCATAAAAGAGTTTTTCCCCGCAGAGAGCTTCTAGATGAGTGGCATACATAGGTAATTAAGGAAGCAATGTGACAAGTGCTAAAATAAGGGAAATGTAGGGTACAACAGGATTGCAAAGGGTAGGCACTAAGTGTAAAACTAATGGTCAGATAAAGTGATATTAAAGGTGAGGGCATGGAGTGAGAAGTTGGGCTATCCCATGCAAAGTAAACAGCATGTGCAACAATGCTGAAGATAGAATATATCCTGTTCAGGGAATCCCCAGGAATTTTAGTGTGGCTGGAACTAAAATACAATGTGCTTCATTTGTGCTTCATTTTGGTTGTTCTTTTCATCTTCATTTTGGGGAGAGTTGATAATAGATGAGATAAGCAGATATTAGATTATGAGTGATATTTTAAACCATGTTTGGGAAGGGAGAGTAGATTTATTTACCTATCTTTGTAGTTTTTAATTACTTTTAAATACTTCAGGGTATATTTCCTAAAAATAAGGACATTGGGTTGAATTTATTTTGAGGGTAATGGAGAACCACTGAAACTTTTAAACAGGAAAAGGGTGAGATAAAGTGGAGTAGTGGTAGGAAATCAGACTAAATTGTGAAGAAACTGGCAATTTTGATTTAATTCTGTAGCTGTATGGAAGTCATTGGGAAGTCTGACCTACTTAGGTGGATTTGGGGAGTCTTGGTATGTGGATTGAAGTGATATTTGAAGTTACTTGAATGGGAAAAATTGAATAGACAAAGAATTTAGATATTAAAGAAGAGAACTTATGGGGAATAGAGTTATCAGGAAGATTCTGAGAAGCAGCAGTAAAAGGGGTAGGAAGAGAAGCAAAAGAGGAAGGACTGTAATATTACATTCTGGGGAGGAAAGAATCTTAACAGGCAGATAGTCAGTAGTGTCACTTTAGAAACTAGATAAGGTAGAATGAAGCTACAGAACTAGGCAATCCAGAGTTTATTAATGGATTCCGAAGACAGTTTTAATGGATGGTGAAGCCCAAATCCAAGACATGGTAAATTGAAGCATAAATGAGAGAAAAAAAAACATTGGTATAGTGAGGACAGAATACTCTTTCAAATAATCTGTTGGTTAAGGGTATGGGGGGAAGAATCTGAGAGTGAGACAGGATTGAAGGAAAAATTTTTTTAATTTATTTTAATCAACACATAATTGTATGTACTTACAGGGTACAATCTGATGTTTTGATACATATATGTTGTATAGTGATTGGGTCAGAGTAGTTAATATATTCATCACCTCATGCATTTTTCAATTCTTTGGGGTGAAAACATTCAAAGGCTCTCCTCTAGCTATTGTGTAATATACAAAACAACTGTTAACCATAATCACCCTACTGTGCCATAGAACACCAGAACTTAATCCTCCTGTCTAACTGTAGTTTTGTACCCATTAGCCAGACTCTCCCTGTCTTCCCTTCCCTATTCCCCTCCCCAATCTCTGGTAACCACTATTCTACTCTCTGTCTCTATAATATTAACTTTTTTTGTTTTGTTTTCATCTTTGTGTGCCTGGCTTGTTTCGTTAACATAATGAGCTCCAAGTCCATGCAGGTTGTCACACATGACAGGATTTCATTATTTTTCATGGCTGTATGGTATTCTATTCCATTCTATTCACATTTTTAATCCATTCATCCACTGTTGGACACTTAGGTTGATTCCATATTTTGGCCATTGTAAATTGTGCTGCAATAAACATGGAAGTATGGATATCTCTTGGACATACTGACTTCATTTCCTTTAGTTATATACCCAGTAGGTGGTATTGCTGGATCAAATGGTAGTTCTGTTTTTAATTTTTTGATAAACCTCCATACTGTTTTCCATAATGGCTGTACTTGTTTATACTCTCACTAACAGTGTGCAAGTGTTCCCTTTTCTCTGTATCCTCACCAACACTTATTTTCTTTTGTCTTTTTGATAATGGCCATTCTAACTGGAGTGAGTTAGTATCTCATTCTTTTGATTTGCATTTCCCTGGTGATTGCTGATGTTGAGCATTTTTTCATATGCATCTTGGCCATTTTTGTACCTTCTGATAAATGTCTATTAAGATTCTTTGCCCATTTCTCAATTGGGTTATTTGGGTTTTTACTGTTCAGTTGTTTACATTCCTTATATTCTTGATATTAACCCTTTGTCAGATGTAGTTTGCAAATATTTTTCTCCCATTCTGTAGGTTGTCTCTTTGCTATGCTAACAGATTCTTTTGATGTGCAAAAGCTTTTTAGTTTGATGTAAACTCACTTGTCTATTTTTGCTTTTATTGCTTGTGTTTTTGAAGACTTATTTAAAAATTTCTTGCTCAGTCATATGTTGTGGATCATCTCTCCTGTGTTTTCTTCTAACAGTTTCATAGTTTCAGGTTTACACTTAAATTTTTAGTCCATTTTGAGTTGATTTTTGTATATGGTAGGAAGTGAGGATCTAGTCTTATTCTTCTGCATATGGCTATCCAATTTTCCCAGCTCCATTTACTGAAGAGAATATCTTTTCCCCAGTATGTATGCTTGACACCTTTATTAAAGATCAGTTAGCTGTGAGTGTGTGAATTTATTTCTGGCCTCTCTATTCTGTTTCATTGGTCTATGTGTCTGATTTTATGCCAGTACCATGCAGTTTGGGTTACTGTTTCTTTGTAGTATAATTTGAAGTCAGGTAATAGGTTGCCTCCAGCTTTGTTTTTCATTAGAATTGCTTTGGCTATTCAGGGTCTTTTTTGGTTCCATGTGAATTTTAGGATTATTTTTTCTATTTCAGTGAAGAGTGTCATCAGTATTTTGATAGAGATTGCATTAAATGTGTAGATCACTTTGAGTAGAATATCCATTTTAACAATATTAATTCCTCCAATCCATGAACATGGGATAACTTTACATTTATTTATGTCCCCTTCAATCTCTTTCTTAAAAGCTTTATAGTTTTCATTGTAGACATCTTTCACCTCCTTAGTTAAGTTTATTCCTAAGTATCTTTTTTTTTTTTTGGAATTATTATAAAAGGAATTGTTTTCTTGATTTTTTATTTTTAAAGATAGTTTGCTATTAGTATATAAAAATACTTCTGGCTTTTATATGTTGATTTTGTATCCTGTAACTTTACTGAATTCATTTATTAGGTCTAATAGTTTTTTGGTGGAGTCTTTAGGGTTTTCTATATACAAGATCATGTTCTCTGCAAACAGGGACTGTTTGACTTCCTCCTTTCCAATTTGGGTGCCTTTATTTCTTCCTCTTGTGGGACTTCCATTATGATTTTGAGTAAAATGGTGAAAGGGGGATCCTTATCTTGTTTCCGATCTAAGAGGAAAAGCTTTCAGCTTTTGAAGGAAAAATTTTTGAGGATAAAGGTGATTTAATACATTTTGGTTGAGAGAAGGAAGGAGAGTTGGGGAGGAGGACGACATTGATACTGAGAATTGGAGAAGATCCATGGATCATCCTCCAGAAGTGAAAAGGGAGGGAATCTAGACACCGAGTAAGGGGTTAGCCATTGAAAGAAATAGGGACATTTTTTTTTTTTTTTTTTTTTTTACTGTCTTGTCAGAAGAAGATAGGCTGGGTGTGTATACAGATGAAGTTGTAAGAATGCAGGAAAGAAGGCAAGAGTACACATGTCAGATGAATTATTTTTTCTCGGTGAAGTTTGAGAAGTAGACTTCATGCTGAGGAGAAGAAGGACAAGAGGGACCTGAATAAGAAGTATAAGGCTTGGGAATACCACTGTGAAGAATGAGAAGGGGAGCCACCTAGGAATGAGGAAAAAGAAAAAAATACTTTTTTCACTAAAAAATTCTCTAACAGTGTAAAATGAAGCATGCTAGACTGAAAATGGGCATATCTCTGAAGATAAATGGGTTCATTTTGTTATTTTTCTCTATTTTCACCATATGATACACTGAGTATGTATTATCTTTATAATAAGACAGTAACTATCATTTTAATTTTATATAGATCAGATTTTTTAGAATTTCTTGCTTATTTTTAATTGTTTCTTGTGCACATGATTGTAATATTAGACCTTTGATGTTATGGGAAATGCATTGAACTGAGAAGTCAGAAGAGTTAAGCTCTGACTCTGTCCCTGCCAGGCCTCAGCAATACCCAGTTAGCCGTTCTGAGTCTATATCCTTGTTTTATGAGATGTGTATAATATCTTCCTGCCTACCTCAAAGGGTGGCAAGAATCTATATTAAAATGAGATAATTTAAGAGAAAATACTTAGTAAATTACTAATTACTATATAATATTATACTATAATTGTATATAGGTAGCATATATGAGGGTACTTCAAAGAGTCTGGAAAAATAAAACTAAAAGATAATATGAATCTTTCTACGAATTTTTTGAAGACATCGGTTATAGTTAGCTACATATATTCAACTATACTCAAATATACTATTACTATATATTATAATTAGTAAAATTTGCATTTGGTGAGGATTTGTAGGGATTTTTCCTTCCACATGTGGTCTTTAATAATTATCAGCTTTTTTTGTTAAATACACATTGGATTTAGCTTTCCCAAAAGACTATGTTTCTTTAGGTAACATACTCCTGTATTGTATTTAATACTTACACTGTGTACCCTGTGGGCTTCTGTGAATACCTTTTAGTTGACACGATACACTAGAGCTTTACTCTAAGCAGTTTACTTAGAGTTTAAAACACTATTAGGTCATATTAGATTTCTGAGTGCTTTTTGTCTTTTTTAAGAACACCAAGAAATTAAACTATGCAAGCCTCATGCCATCCTGTATAACTATGTAGCCATGTAAAATTTTAACCATTAGATTTCTATCTTGTTATAACATGAACCCATAGGGAATTACAGAAACTTAAAATGCATTTATAAGGAAGAAGAACTTAAATTTTAAGGAAAAAGTTAAATGATTGTACTTGTATTAATTCCCTGAACTGGATATAATACTATTATGAAGATTTTTCTTCCTTTAGGATTCTGTTGCAAAGCCCCATGTGATTGTAGCAGGAGCTGCCACAGTAAGTTACTATTTGTATTCTTACATAATGATTTTTGTTTCACACTTAAGGACATTCTAAGAAAAAGTTATGTTAGTAAAATTCTCGATCATACTTTTATTTTAATTTCTATTTCTATTATAATTAATCAGACAATAATTTTAATAAAAGATCTGAATGAACTTAGGATATTTAGTATCAAATATTAGTATTATTTTATATTTAAAATTATATTTTCTTGAATGTTATACATTGAAAGTCTGATTTTAAGATACTTTTCCTGACTGCTTTCATATATTTCATGAAATAATTTGATCAAATTTTATTCTAATATTGAGTAAAAATGGGAATTGTCTTAAAATAACAACCTTTGTTATAATAGGTAAATTATATACTTTAATTTTACTGATAAATACTGAATTAGTGCTTAATTTTTACTTCTTAGTGGTCCATCAAGATTCACAATGGTAGCAACGAAGCGCTTTCTCAATATAAAATGAACATTACCTCCATAGCACCACTTTTAGAAAAATTGGCAAAGACTAGTGATGTTTATTGGGTCTTACAAGGTAAGGAATGAGTAATGAAAACATGTCACTTTGTATATATTTTGAGGCATGAGTTTTTATCATCTTCTACTTCACAAAGCAAAATTACAGCTTCATGGGAATAAATTTGGAAATAAGGGTTGCAAAATTAGAATAAACTTGAGTTATTTGCTAAGGAACAGACTAATTAATGTAATAAGTAAAAACTAAATAAATAAAAAACATCCCCCAAGGAATCTCAGCTGGCAGAGTGGCTGTAGAATGTAACAGAGAGATAAGTCGTAAAGGCAACTGAGATATTTACCTCTGATTTTTTGTTTCTTACAAAATATATTTATTGTGATTGAGAAATATAGAGAAAAAATATTAATAACAGACTAATAAATGTAATAAGTAAAAACTAACTGAATAAAAAACATCCTCCAAGAAATCTCAGCAGGCAGAGTGGCTATAGAATGTAACAAAGAGATAAGTCGTAAAGGCAACTGAGATATTTACCTCTGATTTTTTGTTTCTTACAAAATATATTTATTGTGATTGAGAAATATAGAGAAAAAATATTAATAACAGACTAATAAATGTAATAAGTAAAAACTAACTGAATAAAAAACATCCTCCAAGAAATCTCAGCAGGCAGAGTGGCTATAGAATGTAACAAAGAGATAAGTCGTAAAGGCAACTGAGATATTTACCTCTGATTTTTTGTTTCTTACAAAATATATTTATTGTGATTGAGAAATATAGAGAAAAAATATTAATAAGTGACTAATAAATGTAATAAGTAAAAACTAACTGAATAAAAAACATCCTCCAAGAAATCTCAGCAGGCAGAGTGGCTATAGAATGTAACAAAGAGATAAGTCGTAAAGGCAACTGAGATATTTACCTCTGATTTTTTGTTTCTTACAAAATATATTTATTGTGATTGAGAAATATAGAGAAAAAATATTAATAAGTCTGTTTTATAATATTAGAATCATTGGAAGTAAACATACTTTTAAATTGACAATATATTTAAATTCACCCCCTCTAGTTTATACTCGGTAATAAAATTCTTTAAGAGAAAGTAGACATTAGGTCAATTCATTTCAGGAATTTATGAATATCCATTATTTAATGTCTAGCGCAATATGAAATGCCTTGGATATTTTAGCAATTAAGCTGTTTTTCAGAAACTCATGATTATTTCCAAGTTAAATGTCAAGGAAATAAGAAACAAGAAAGGGTGATGCTAGTCTGTTTCACAGTCCCTGTTTTGTTCACAGACTCATTGCTAACCTTTATCTTACTAAAATGAGAAATTAAATTTAAATTATTTATAGTAAGTGATAATAGACAGACCTTGATCCTCAATAATATTACATCCTAATTGTGTGAACAGAGTTTATGGAATTAAGCAGTGACGGGAGAAAAAAAAAGATTCACTGCTATTCTTAATTGGGTAATCTTCCATATCCAATTTTAATTTCTTGTCACACAGTATAACCCATCATCCAAAAATTGTAAACTCTTAAGACATAGTAAAACATAAAAATGTTTCCCCAAAGCTATGTATATGGGGAAGAGACAAAAGTTCTTTAAATTTGTGGGAGATATTCAAATGACTCAAAAATTGAATATGAGATAGGAAATCTATTGTAAACCTTGGCAAGCTTTATGTAAAAATTAATTATTAGACACCTGGTATCATCTGTACTTTAGAACAAAATATGAAATGTGGATTGACTAACTTGCACAATCACAATTTCTACCAATAGGGATTTTAAAGTGTGTTTTTAAAAATTATTTCACTTGCAGATCCCGTTTATGAAGATCTATTAAGTGAAAATAGGAAGATGATCACTAATGAGAAGATAGATGCCTATAATGAAGCTGCAGTCAGTATTTTGAATAGTAGCACCAAAAATTCTAAATCAAATGTTAAGATGTTCAGTGTTTCCAAATTAATTGCTCAAGAAACAATCATGGAGTCTTTGGATGGCTTACATCTTCCTGAATCAAGCAGAGAAACTGTAAGAATTCTTACATTTGTCAGTAGATGGAGACTATAATATCAATTGGTTATAGCCATAAGTCACTATAACATGATTATAAATAAATTATTTTACTGAAATCGTAATTACTGATAGTTTAAAGATACGTATAGAAATAATTTTGCTTTCTGTCATCCAGCTGAATATATAAGTGACAGTTTTAGTATACTCTGAGAAAAGTTATGGAAGAGAGGAAATGAGTTAATACACCTTGTCTCATAAGAAGCTTGCATAAGTTCTCAGTATACTCATGTCTGAAAACTACTACTTTGTTTCCCTTACCTTAAACCTTAAGTTTACAAGACTAAGCTTCAGTGAAGAGCACTTTTTTTAATATATAAATTAAATTTTATTATTTCCTTATAGCTCTTATACCCTAATCATTATTCAAGGTACAGAGTGGATACTGAACAAACCTTGGTTGATTGGTGGAAAGAGATTTAAGTTAAGTACGAAAGAGAACTGCATAGTTATAATTTTTCACACACACGACAAATTGGAATTTTTTTTCTTATAGAGCAGTGGTTCTTAACCTTTTTTGAGGGACACGTAAGCCCTTTCAGTATCTGATAAAAAGCAATGGTTCTCTTTCTCTCCTGCATAGATACATGGTTCTCCATATACTATAAGGGGCTTTTGTGGAACGCCCCTCCCCCAGAAGCTGCTTAAAAACTTTATGATGGAACTTGTAAGCTAACATCTGCAAGATTTTCTAAACATTTGAATACTTTGAATGCTTGGGTTTAAATAATCTAGAGTTCTACAGATGCCTGAACTATAAAGTTTTTATGAAACTAGTTTAACTAAATCTTCAATTAGAATCTTGACAGCTTGCCTAGAATAATTTTATTACAATCAAACCATGTTAAAGATTTTACATTTTGTTTAATGTTAGAAGTCTTAAAACTAGAATCCTAAATGATCTATAAGCTGTAAACCAAATGAAAGGCATTATTACAAATATTGTTAGCTAAGAATTAATAGTTTTTTGGTGGCAGTTATTTTACATTTTTTTTTTTATATCTAAAGACTGGAACTCTATCTTAAATATTCTGGTATATTCTGTTTTGAAAGTCTGCTAATTAAAATTCTTTGGTCCTTGGCATTTGTCAATATTTTAACCGAAGTTCATGACCCATTAACAGTCATAAAATCAGTATTTTTTTTTTTAGGTATAGAATAGAACAATGTCAGACTGCATCCCAAGTAGTAAGCATAGGTATTGTTAGCTGTGAATATGTCCTGGGTCACAAGATAAAATTAATTTTTTATTATGGATCATAGCTCCAAAAGTTAGAAACACCCTGAGCTAGCTATTACAGATTGAAGGAATACCATTATTTGCATGAGTTTTTGGAAATGGTAGCAAAAAGTACAAAAGCATTTTGGTTTCAGGGCTGAAAACTCAACGGTATTCACAGGAGAAAATCTAATGTGAAATATATCATTGACAAGATAATAACCAAATAACTTGATTTGTTCACAGAGTGCAATGATTCTTATGAACGTGTATTGCAATAAGATTTTGAAGCCTGTAGATGGTTCCTGTTGTCAACCTCGGCCTCCTCTTACTCTCATACAGAAGCTAGCTGCTCTTTTTTTCACTTTATCTATTATTGGATATTTAATTTTTTATATAATTCATCGTAATGCTCATCGGAAGAATAAGCCATGTACTGATTTGGAAAGTGGAGAGGAGAAGAAAAATATTGTCAGTAGTCCTGTGTCTCCATTAGAAATACTTTTACAGTCTTTCTGCAAACTTGGCCTGATTATGGCTTATTTCTATATGTGTGACCGTGCAAATCTGTTTATGAAAGAAAACAAATTTTATACACATTCATCTTTCTTTATTCCAATTATCTACATCTTGGTTTTGGGAGTATTTTACAATGAAAATACTAAAGAGGTAAGAGTAACTTTCTTTTTAGCTCATGTTATCTTTCTTATCTCATTACACCTCTAAATTTAAAAAATAATATCATTTATCATGCCAGATAAAACAGACATTTATATAGATGAGGATAAAGGAATGTTAAGTTATACTTCACTTAGTAGACTCTTAACTGTTGCTTTCTCAGAGTAGTTTGGAGGAGGTTCAGAGAGTCACGTGAAGATTGTTGAAAAGTTGGAAAATATGACCTGTGAAAAAGATGTCCTGACTTAGTAGTATTTTGCTCGGGGATAGAGCAGTGGAAGCACTCCTGTTTTTACAGTGGTATTCAAGCACATGATACTATTATCTTTTATAAAGTAAAAAATATATAATTTATTAACAAATTCCTATATGGACATACATATTTTGTACTTATTTATCAGTCAGACATGCATATATATACACACACACAAATTAGAACTTACATAATGATGTGCCCACTACTCACAGTATTCTGAATTTCCTGTTTTAGAATTGTTGTCATTGCTCAGAATGTTTGTGTAACTTCTTTACAAGGCATGATTTATTTGAATTAATAAATTCTCTTGTAAAACGTAACTCTCATATAAGGATAATTAATCAGGTTTTCAACTGCAGTGAGGATATACTAGGGAAAATAAATTATAATGGAGCTTTTTCTAACAACAAAGTGTAAGGGAACTATAAAATCTTTTTTTAACGCTGAAATTCTAAGATTTTATTGAAGAAAATTATAGAATGCCATTTTTAGATTTATAAATACCCACATCTGTCATAGTTTAAATGTCAATTTAATATAAAACCATAAGGATCAACTTAAATATTCAAAATTTCTTTTAGTTTATATTTATTTTCAAATTTCTATACTAGTTAAAATAGTTTAATTTCATCTTTTAGCAAGAAATGAAATGGCAGTTTTTAATTGCCCCCCAAAGGTTCTTTTGACAGAAGTATTAGCTTTATGTTCTGTAAGAAAAAATTTAACATACATAATATATACTGTCCAATATACTTTATGATGAATTTTAAAACAGATTTTGGTTTCCTTACACAGACTAAAGTATTAAATAGAGAACAAACAGATGAATGGAAAGGCTGGATGCAACTTGTGATTTTGATTTATCATATCTCTGGAGCAAGTACAGTAAGTATTTTGAATTTACTTAATTCAGAAAGTATAGGAAATAATATCACTTTAATGTTTCTTTCAGGGCACTGAATTCTTGTATTTTATATTCTCTACTTGTTATAGACCCTTCTTATTTCCCACCCAGTCTTTCTGCCTTCCCATTCTTCTCCCAACTCTTTGAGAATGCATAATTTTAAAAGCAAAATGCATTTTTTAAAAAAAGATAAGACAATAACTGATTTGTACTTAGTTGGCCTTAATTGTAATATAATAGAAATAGCTGATGCCTATGGATATTATTTCATGTCATCTTGTTGAACAACTAATTAAAAGTATCAAGAAACTTTGTAGATGACAAGTACAAAGGATTTAGAATAGGCAAGTTACTATCAAAAGAAATCAAATTAGATTATTATATTTTATATTCCACCCTTCACTGTATTTTAGGAAGTTTGACCAACTATGTTTATATCTTGAAAGATTAAAAAACTTAGAACTCTCTTGCCCCAGTGTTCAGAATTCAGATATAGCTAGATTGCCCTTGTAGACCAAGTAGGGCATATCATACTTCCTACATATTATCTCCTCCATGCGATGGAGGACCCTTACTTTAGTCACCCAGTACCTTTTGTACCTGGACAAAATTCTTGTTTTCATCTCCCTCGGTGTCTTTTTAAAAGACTTAGGATTCTCATGATCCATGGCCACCTTGGATATGGCAGGATTAGAAAAAATGTATTCATTCTGATTTGTAACATACCGGCTACATTACAGTTAAAACAAGCTTTTGTGGGGCCAACCCCATGGCTCACTCGGGAGAGTGCGGCGCTGGTAGCACCAAGGCCGCGGGTTCGGATCCTAAATAGGGATGGCCGGTGCGCTCACTGGCTGTGTGTGGTACAGACAACACCGTACCGAGGCTTGTGATCCCTTTACCGGTCAAAAAAAAAAAAAATGGGTGAGCCTAAAAACCACTTTCCACACAATTTTTATAGTAAAGATGCAATCTGACTTCTATAAAATATGTTGAAAAAATTTAAGAAACTCATTCATAATTTGGGAACTGAGCTGTTTTTTATTGCTTTATTTGCCCATGTTAAACCCATCTATAAACAATATTTGAATCAATGATAAATTGAGTAAGAGGGGAGTATTACCAGAAAGTATTCTAAAAATTTCATAACAGCAATTAAGAAGATAAATAATTTTATTACTGGGATTTTTCAGGTAGCTCCAGCAATTTGAAAACAATTCTTTATTGTCTTATTATTTTCAAAAATGGTTGGTGATTTTTATGGATGGTTTGTTTGAAGAGCAGAAGCAGAGGAATGAAGTGTAATTTTTACTGAAATGATATGGCTATGAAATGTATATTTGTGGCAACAGTGAAATTCCTGTGATACTGCAACTGAAGGAGAGCTAGTGAATTTCATAGTTATGGAAGAGCCAAGACAGTAAAAGAGATCCAAGGAGGAATGGAGATAGTAAGACTTAGTTTTTAAGCCCAGCTCAGAATTTGTAGGATAAATCTAGAAAGTCTCTCAAGAAGTAAGTAAAAATGAATATTGAATCCTAGAAATATCTCTGGCGTATGAATAAAGACTGGGTTTATCTTGTGAGGAAAAAGGGTCTTTGTTTTAAGAAAATGCCACTCGAGACATAATTAATTGCTGATACTACTGTAAAAAAAATCAGGTAGAAAGAATTAATGGCAGATGAAGTTCCTCAATTCAGTGATTTCAGAAAGGATTTAGATCATAAAAGAATGAAGTCAATTTGGCATTCTGTTATAATCATTTACCAACCTAAAATTCTAGAAGATCTTCTTAAACTACATACCAGTACATTCTATGTTACAATAAATCAATCCTGCTTTGGAAAGATATACTTTTCATTAACAGATCATCTGTAATGATCAATGAATATATCTCTGTTATTTTATATAGGATTTTGTAGTTCAAATTACCTATATCTACATTGGCAAAGCATTATTAATACAGGTTATAACATATTTCGGGATGGATTCTTAGATATTTGAGGGATTACTCTCATTAAAAACTTTTTAACTGCCACAGTTATTTTAATTACCTAATCTTAATGTTTTTTATTTTCAGTAAAATATGTCAAACTTTAGTTGTGCCATGTTTTTATGCCAAAAGAGAAACTGTCAAATTCCAGAGAATTACTAAAAAAAATCCAGATGGTCTGGCAGATTGTAACTGTTAGTATAAACATTCTTTTAAAATATAATTTATATCAAATATGGATAAAATGCTGAATTTAATATGGAGAGAGCAACAAGTTTGGTATATACAGTAAATGATTTGGTGTTCGATTGGTTTTCTTGCCTTTGAGAGTTTGTAACTTTCATGAAAAGACCTGAGTAAAAGATCATGAGGAAAATTTGGGGGACTAGTAAAAGAACAGAACCAGAAGCTATCCTGGCTCCTAAATCTAATGAAGTTGGAATTCCAAATATATTTTCAATACTAAAATTTTGTTTTACTTAATACTTGACTCATGAAAGACAAAAGGAAAACAGTTTGGATTAAAAGAGACTAAAGAGGCATGAGAACTAAATGCAATATGTGGTCCTTTATTTGAGGTTCCTAGATCAAAAAAAATTTTTTAACCATGAAGGATATTACTAGAATAATTGGAGAAATTTGAATATGGATTGTATAGTAGATACTATTATATTCATATTAAATTTCTTGGGTATGATAATGATAATGTGGTCGTGTAAGAAACTGTTCTTTATTCCTTGGAGATACATGATGAAATATTTAGGAGCACTGTCACATGGTCTGCAACATACTTTCAGGTGGTTCAGCATGCTATATAGGTGTCCATTGTACTATTCTTACAACTTTCCTGTTGCTTTAAAATATCTTAAAATAAAAAACTGGGAGAAATAGAACATGAAATTTGTAATAGGCCAACATTGGCAGGAACTTGGAAAGTTGTTGTGATAGTGTTTGAGTTTAAATGAATTGCATTTATTTTTTAAATATAATAACCAAGGTCCGACTTTGTAGTCCCAGTCTTGAAGGGACTTGAAAGCATGTTTTATGGAGAGTGGTTAAAGTAATTGGGAATGGTTAACCTAGCTTTGACATCTGTTTTCAAATACTTATAGAGCTATCAGATATAAGAGTGATTTAACTCAGCCATATGGCTGTAGAACTGGACTCTCCTTTATGGTAGCCACTAGCTACACGTGACTATTGAGCCCCTGAATGTAGCTAGTCAGAATTTTAAAGTGCTGTAAGTGTGAAACACATACCAGATTAAGAATGATTCGTTATGATAAATTTATACTAAGTTCAAAAACTTCATATAAAAAAAGAATGTAAAACATCTTATTACATGTTGAAATGATAATATTTTGGATATTTGAGTAAATAAAATACATTTCTTAAAATTTGTTTCACTTTTTTTTTTTTAACTTTTTAAATGTTCTGGTAGCCACATTAAAAGATTACTTATGGCTCACATTTTATTTCTATTGGACAATGCTGATCTAGAGGGCTGAAGCTGGTAGCTTTTATCTATAGTTAGATTTCAACTTTTTATGAAAAGGAACTTTATAGCAGTTAGCCATCTGAAAATGGATTGCCTTGGGAGTTTGTATGTTTTCTGCTATTAAAAGATGCTTAGGTAAATCCACGAAGGGGATATTTTAGAGTGCATTCAAGAATGAGGAAAGGACACAGGTTTGGATTAGATAAATTCTGAAGCTATTTCAGTACTACATTTCCAACCTTCATCCCTGTGATGCTAATATGTTATATCTTCATTAAAAATTTCTCATCTAATAATGAGATGATACATTTAAAAAGAACTAATGATGAAGGGCAATAAATAAAAATCCTATGTTTGATATATAGTTTGTTGGTGCTGTAGGAACTCAGAGGAAGGAGAAATGACTTTCATCAGAGAATAAAGATTGGAATTTTGAACCAAGTTCTGAAGAATAGGATTTGAATAAGCAAAATGGGGTTAGGGAAAAAACATTCCAGGGCAGAATAAATAAGTAAACAAAAAAGAATTAACCAGGAAGCATAATAAGGAGCAATTTTAGAGACAGAGAATCTATCAGGTTGGTTAGAGTAGAAGCTATGTAGAAGAATTTATGATCTATTGTAGTTCAGATTTTTTTTTCTTCCAGAAAAAATATCCCTCCAAAAAAGAAAGATATGCATTCAAGGATGTATGCAGAAGATACATACATTTGAGGCCTTATAAAATCTACTTAATGTGTCCACTTAATTACTTAATTTTATCCTACAAAGTATCACTTGGAGAAGACACATTTACCTAAAATGGCCATAAGCAGTGTTAATCAATCCTTGGTATTTGCAGAGGTGATCAGATGGGTCTATAAAATAGAAGCCAAAGAAATTTTGCATAGATTCAGTAATTATCTTGAAAAGAATGGCCTTATAATTGCAAAGGTTGGATGTCACTCATCAGACCTTTTAAAGATCATTTTTAAAAGCAGTACACTGGTTATGTTGTGGAGATAGTGAATATACACCTAAAGGACCAGTGGGTGGTGGACAGATGGAATAGCAGTGTTCTAAGGTTATAAGAATTAGTACTTACAAATGGGATTACATTTCTAGTGACTCCTGTCATATGTAGATTTGAAATCTGTTGTATTTTATTTAATTTAGATAGAAGTGAAGATGCGAATCTCTGAAAAATCATGACAAATGACTCTGGCTTGGTCATGATTAAGACTGTGATGTAGGAGTGTAAAATGAAATTGTTTCATAAAATAAGAATGCAAGGAAAATTATATTTCTAAATTATCTTTGCATATATTTTTGAAAATATGTATTTTTTGCTAGTCGCTTGACTATTTTACATACAGGTCTAAAGTCTATATGTTTAAGGGGGGCAAAAATGTGGGATTTATGTTCGTTTTGTTTTTCATCTTCTCTTTGCAAAAATATGAAATTCAGGGTAATCTTGTATTCAGGATATGTGATGATTAATAATTATAGCTATTATATGTTGAATTCCATTTGGGTGCAATTTAATATACAAAGTGATTCACATTTATTATCTCATTCATTCCTTGCAAGAACCCTCTAAGGAAGGAGATGATAGTCTCATTTTGCAGATTGGAAAACTCAAACTTAAAGCGACATAGCTAAGAAAGGAGCAGAACCAGAATTTGAACCTAGGTCTATCTGATTCCAAAGCCTACATTTTTGTAATCCCTGCTATAATGCCTAACCTTTGAAAATAGTTCTTTTTATTAAGCTAATGCCAAATGATAATGATGATTCGTTATCTTTGTTAAGTGTACTTGTTATGATAATTCAAGGTGTAATTGATGATAACATACATTTTACCTATTTACTTTTGTCAACAGTTTTTGCCTGTATATATGCACATTCGAGTTCTGGTTGCTGCATATCTCTTTCAGACAGGGTATGGGCATTTCTCATACTTTTGGATCAAAGGAGACTTTGGAATTCATAGAGTATGTCAGGTAGGAATACATCCAGTTATTTTCTTTTTCTTTCAACTCAACATGCTTTTGTGCCTAACTGTTGTGAAAATATAAATATGGTCATTGTAAGACCATGAATAATTTGATTTTATGAAATAGCACTTAAAAGTTATATTATTTCTGTGTTCTAAGTTTAGTAATTTCAGATAAATAATTTATTAGTGATGGAAAGAAAATATAATTTAGATGAATATATAATAAAAGCACTGGTACATAAGGGACAACATTGCTGATTCACTTTTGTAGAAATGTGCACAGTTACTTAGAATTATTATAATGTGCTGTTTTCTCTCTCTGCAAAAGAGATTAATATTTACTAAGCTTCTACCTTTTGTTAATCATTTTCTAAGCATTATTTTATTTATCCTCCAATACAACCCTGAGTTATCTTCATGTTTATAGATGAAGAAACTGAGGCTTAGAGAGGTTAAATAATTTGCCCAAGGGCCGAGCCCGTGGCGCACTCGGGAGAGTGAGGCGCTGGGAGTGCAGCAGCGCTCCTGCCGTGGGTTCGGATCCTATATAGGGATGACCTGTGCGCTCACAGCGCTCACTGGCTGAGCGTGGTGCGGCTGGTCTCAAAAAGGACAAAAAAATAATAATAATAAATAATAAAAAATAATTTGCCCAAGGTTGCATAGTAAGTGGTACAGCACTAATATAAATCTGCTCACATTCTGTGTTCTTTGAGTGACATCAAACTGATATCTGCTACGACTGTTACGGAGGTCCCAAAGACACTTTTTAACTTGAGTAACATGATTTTCTATCTATGACAACTCTCAATTTAATCCCAAGTGGGGTAAATCAACATTAAACAGAAGAAGAAATGGACACTCTTTTCTTGAGATAATCTAATCTCTGTTTATAAACTCTAGCCCTAGGAAGGTGGTTTACAGTTTTTCCCCTAATTTAACAAGATGGCAATTGTAAGCAGAAGACAGCTCAGGCTAGTGTTTTACTGGGATTTAGTTAACATAATGATGCATGAGTATTATATATTCAACTGTTTCTGGTTATGGTAGAACAAAAATTTTAGTGATTAGTAAAATACACTTGTACAGTCATTATTTGAGTCCTAAATGTTTATACCCCTTCAGAGAAAATCTGTCTTTGCTTGTCATGTATGCCTGGAATGAAAATCATTTTCTTCTCCTTTTTAATAGGTCTTATTTCGTCTCAATTTCCTGGTAGTGGTGTTATGTATAGTAATGGATCGGCCTTATCAATTCTATTACTTTGTCCCTTTGGTCACTGTATGGTTCATGGTCATCTATGTTACTTTAGCACTATGGCCACAAATAATCCAAAAAAAAGCAAATGGTAAATATACCCTCTTACTAATATTTTTAAATGTATTCTGTCAGTGTACTAAATTTCTTTTTAGTTGCTAAGGGTGATTATTTTTATTAAAAGATGTAGTATCTTTTCTTTTTTCCTTTTTGCCCTACTTCTAATTTATACTACCTTGATGACATTTTAAAGTTATTTGTTGTTTTGACATTTTGAAATTTTGTTCTTAAACTATGTTTCTAAAATTTTACATTTGAGTAGTTCAAGTAATATAACATTCAGAATAATAGTTTACATTTATATTATGTGTGTGTTTTCCCTTTATTAAAGTTAAGTTTTTCAAAACCAGTTTACATATTAACTAGTGCAACAGTTTTGAAACTGTCTTGCCCAGAGCCAGAGTGGACATGGCTGGAAGAGATAAGGGAAAGCCAAATAGGGCTCTAAACCCTTACATCCTATTTCAATCTTGGCAGCCCTGCTTTATTTGATTTCTTATATATATTGAGATTTCGAGTAAATATTAGTTTGCAAAAAGGCTTCTTACATCAAACAGTCTAAAAGCATTAATATAATTTAATCTTCTAGACAACTGTTTAGCAGTTATTACCAACCTGTTTTACATATAAGGAAACCTAGGTACCCAGATGATTGCCATTTTCAAATTTCACATAGCCAGTTACTGATAATGTTCAAAGTGAGGCCACAGTTATTCATCTTAATGCTTTTTTCCCTCAAGATCGTGTCATTAAAATAAAATCTTCCCTTTTCTAAAAAAATAAAGAATTTTTGATTTTTTTTTCCCCCCACTGGTAAGGGGATCGGAGCCCTTGGCTTGATGTTGTTTGCACCACGCTCAACCAGTGAGTGCACCAGCCATCCCTATATAGGTTCTGAACCTGCGTCATCGGTGCTACCAGCACCTCACTCTCCTGAGTGAGCCATGGGGCCGGCCCAAGAATTTTTGATTATTAACAATGTATTTAACTTGATTCTTTCAGCCAAATATTATTTGGCTGAAGAGAAATCAAAAAGTATTCTTCATTAGCTTCCATCATAATATCAAATAATTCTTCAATAAAGAGCTGAGTTTCAGCATCTTTGGACAGCCTCTGTAGTTTAATTCCTCTTCACAAACCCAGCATATTAATCAAATAATCAATCAATGTGTATAAACTTTGCACATGTATTTAAAATATGCATATGTTAAAATATATCTTGTGGTTAAATCCTAGTTTATTAGGGAGTTAAAGCTCTCTCCTTGAAAATTTGATGTTTAAACAATATTACCTAAGTTATATTTAACATGAGTTTTTGTTAGAATTACATTGAACAGGTTGTTCCAAATTTTGTTGTAATGTTCAGTAGTTAATAGGTATAATTGAATCCAGGAGGTATTTTAAAATATATTTATAGTGAATGAACAGCAGGTATATAGAGTATCAGTTATACTTTGTAGCCTCATTCCTAGCAAGAATCCTCCACCTTTTTTTCTTTTTGCCCTACTTGTAGTTTATACTACCTAGATATATTTTGTGTATCCTTGTATGCAGCCTTAAATTATTTTAAGAACTATTCGGGGTATAAATACATTAAATAGGGTACTTAATGTGTTATCTAGTTTTATATTTCTTAGTAAATTAAATATTTTCTCTCTTAGGAAATTGTTTCTGGCATTTTGGCTTACTGTTGAAACTAGCTTTTTTGCTGTTATGCATATGTTTTTTGGCATATTCTCAGGTTTGTATAATCTTTTCAGTCTATATTTTTTAATATTTTATTTTAAAGTTCAAGTCTATTAAAGTATGTGAAAAGAGTCAGAGCTTTTTTCCAGCTTCATCTTTTAATGACTGTAATAAAAGTGTCACTGTGTAGTTGATTACTCAGTGTAGTTCTTTTGAGACCTATCTACTTTTGTTATCACTGTTTTTGTTGTAAGAGCAATTTAAAGCTCTTCCTCTGGCAGTTGTTCAAGATCCATTTTACTTGACTTTGATCAATCAAACGTTTATTGAATGCTTCATAAGACACTACTCTAAGTGGAGATCAAAATTCTCTTGACAGAATTTGCAACTTAGTTTGTGCATTATTCATTGCATCAAAGTGTAACTTGATTTTTCTATAACTACAGAGAGTAAGATTTTGGCAGTTAGTAAAACCAACTTGAGAGCAAAGGTGTTTGTATATATGTAGTATGTTTAATTCAATAAAATTTTTGGTCATTTTCCCAGCTCTGATGTTTCTTCCTCCTATTCTGATGGTTGAGATTTTTCTCGGTTATTTTAGCAGGATGACAATCTGCTGCCTGCTGGTTAAATCCATCAGGCAGACATATTATCTGGGCAGTGAGGTATTTATAACAAAATATTTTAATTTGACTGCCTGTAGTTGTGACATATTCTGCAGTTTACTTGCATCTCCAACACTCCGTTTTGTACCTGGCTCTGTCAGGTGTAAATGTTCTAGAGGCATTTTGTGTGTATTTATAATCCTATGAAACTGTTTTGGGGATTCTTTTGAGATCTTTTATACTTATTTTCATACTTAGAAGTATTGAAAGCATTTCTATTTCCCATGACATCCAAGATTTTTTAAAGGAGATAAAATAATAAGGAAACAACAGGCAAGTGTATAAAGAAATAGCCAAGTAACAGCAACAGCTACTTGACAGTTATTCATTAAAATTTCCAACACTCCGTGGACACTTCTGAGGGAAAAAAGGAAAGCTAACCAGAAGTTCAATAAAAGGACTAAGAAGGTTTTCCCAGCTTTGAGTCAGTATTGACCTCTTGCCAAGGAAAAAAGTACACAGTCCAGGGCAGAACACTGTCTTTCACAAAATGGGTGTTTAATAAATGATTCTTTATTGATCACATAAGAAATAACTTTTTAATTAGAAATAATATTTTAAATTGTAAATACATTGTATGTCATAAATATGCCATATTTATGATCTATAAGATCATATATCTATATCTAATAGATATATACCTATTATACTATATATGTATATTCATATCAATATATATATGATCCATAAGTACTTCAGATTGCAACTCTTAGTAAGAATCTCCTTAATTTTCTGAGTCATAGATTTTGATAGAACCTATTTTTGATATGCTGTGTGAATTTTAAATCCTGTGGTGACCACAGAATGGAGACCATTGCATTTTATTAAAATAATAAAGTTTTTCTGACCTAAGGATTCAACATTACCTAAAATATATTATTTTTATATTTTTTCTTTGGTTTTTAATAGCCTTTTTAAAAATTGTGATGCTACTCTTTTTATGATGTGGCATTAAGTCTGATAATGGAGCTTTACTTTATAGATTTTGTCATCATTCTTTAGTCTAGAAATTGAGGTTTTTGTTCTCTTCTTTGAAAGACTTCATTAATGTGCAGAAATGTACCCAAGACTTCTGCCCCTACATTCCCACATTTTCCAGGCTGTCAGATTAATAAGAGGGTACCATTCAGGAACTTGCCCAGAGTAAAATTGTAAACTTTGTTTCAGAGGTTAGTAATGGCATTTGGGTGTGGTTGATTGAGTAAGGTGACTAATTCAGAGGACTCTTCTAACTTAAATAGTTAATTATAGACTGTTAAGGACAATTAAAGAAAGAAAACCTATATCTTAACTTTAACAGTCATTACTGGAATCTTGATACCATATTGGCTGAAGTATTTTGTACTTTTCTGTTTGATTAGTATTAGCCGTTTTGTGTACTGGATTAAAAACCTTAAATAGAATAACTTTTCCAATTACAAGGATTTTTCTTTCTTTCTTTCTTTTTTTTTTTCAATTTTAACAATCTCAGTAACCTTTCATATGAAGTGAAAATAAGTTTTAAAAGTTTTAGGTTGTCTTTATTGGCCATCAGTAAAATAAATTTATTGTCAAATAAATTTCAAATGAAGCGATATTTTCAAATGAAAAAGAGTTTAAAAATTGTGAGTAACCATTATGTAATTCTAATTTTAGAAAACTACAGTATATAATAGAATTGCAGAGCAGGTATTGACTTGTACCATTTTAATTTATTTTCTGAATTCCTTTTCTCAGGGTGCATTTGAGAAGATATTTTCTCTTTGGCCATTGTCTAAGTGTTTTGAACTGAAAGGAAATGTATATGAATGGTGGTTCAGATGGAGGTTAGACCGTTACGTATGTATTTACTTTGTAATATTTTGCCATTTCAAATTATACTGTCAGAAAATGATTCAAAAAATTTTGATCTATTTATTTTTTTGAGTAAATGAACATTTGATTTAGTAAGTCAAAGCAGTCCACTACCACCCCCTTTTTCTTTACATCAGCAAAAGAGTATACATGTGTATGTACATCAGCAGGAAAATACTGTAAAAATATTGTCTATAAAATGTCTGAGTTCTAATTTTGACTTATAAGTAATGCATCATATATATATATATATATATATATATACTTCAGCCATTCAAAACAATATTTATTGAGCCCAATATGTGCCCTAGATGTTGGTGTCATAAGGCATATATTAGAGAAAGAAGACCAGGCTTCCAAGCCTTAAAAATCTATTTAAAAACCCAAGGTTACTACTTATAATGTGGTACTAAACTGTGCAGTATGGATTTTGTGGTATAGTATGCAAAGAAGAAAGAGCAGTGTCTGGGATTATTCCAAGAACTTAACACTGAAAGGTGGTTAAAATTCAACTGGCAGAGAAAGTGTAAAATGTCTAGCAGAGCATCTGGAAAATAATAGACACTAAATAAATATTAATTTCTTCACTCTTTCCCCCTTTCCTTCCATTTTTGACTCATCTTTTTTTTTCTTTCAACAAATGTTTTCTTAGTGCCTGTTCTGTGCCATTCCTGGTTTTTAATCCTATGCACCTTCCAGTGTACTACATTGCATCTCAAAACTGTATATGAGTATGAATAAAAATTTTTGCTTCACATCAAATAATTTTAAATTCTCGACTTTCTCATTACAGCAGTCTACTATGATATGATTGTATTAGGTTGTTCAGGCTGCTATAACAGAATACTGTAGACTGGGTGGCTTCTAAAGAGCGGAAATTTATTTCTCACAGTTCTGGAGGCTGAGAAGTACAAGACCAATTTGCTGGCAGGTTTAAGTGGCTGGGGAGGGCCTACTTCCTGGTTCATTAACAGCCTTCTTCTCACTGTGTCCTCATGTGGTGGAAGGGGCAAGGCAGCTCACTGGAGCCTCTTTTATAAGGGCACTAATCCCATTTATGAAGTCTCTACCCTCAACACCTAATCACCTCCCAAAGCCCCTACCCCCAAAACCATCACACTGGGGATTAGATTTCAACATATGAATTGGGGGGGGGGGGCACAAACACTCGGTCTATTGAAGTGATAGGTCACATTTAGTCATTGTTTAAAAAAGAAAGCTCTTGTCCTTTCTGGTTCACCATATTTTTTCCCCACTCTTGTGTACATATACTCCTTTTTAAAATTATGATTCATTGTGTTATTCTTGTTTTTATTTGACTGAAGGGACCAATACAAAATGTGTTTTATCTTTGTTGGGTACGCTTAAGTTTTATCACGTGTCTTTAAGAGAGTTTCTTATCATTATTTTTAAATTGTGTTTATTACTTCACTTGCTGCTGAGACTGCTCCTAATGGACCAGCTTTGTCTTGTATTGTCTCATATTGTTGTGAGAGATGTTTGCTTGTCTGTTGCTGATGATTTCTAACAATCATTGACTTTATTTCATTGCTTAATGAAATAAGTCCTTCATAGAAACTCCAAACCTTTAAGCTTTTAACCCACTTATTTTTATGCATATATTCCGCATTAACCAAATATTTTGCTATTTTTTGAAAAGTAACTGTTTAAAACAAATTTTCTGTATCTTTCAGGTAGTCTTTCATGGAATGCTGTTTGCTTTCATCTATCTGGCTTTACAGAAGCGTCAAGTACTTTCTGAAGGAAAGGGTGAACCTCTTTTTTCGAACAAAATTTCGAATTTTCTATTGTTTATTTCAGTAGTTTCTTTCTTGGTAAGTTTTAAAATATAATCTTCTAATTTGTGAAAATTCTAATGGTATAGAAAATTAGCTTTAAGATATAGGATGTAATCGATTATTTTTAATAAATACATTTTTACTTTTAAAATTTTTTCTCTTTATTTTTATAATTGGACATACATTTAAAGAGAATGCATATATAAGTTAAATATGAAGAATAACAGCTCAGTGAAGTAGGAATTTAAAAGTTTTAATAAATTTGAGAAAAATATAATGTAAAGTGTTCGATATAAAGAGCCATCACTGCCTCAGGATCACTTTACCCAGAAAAGCACAGACCTGTGCTCCTTTCTCTCTGCTCTCTTCTGTTTGGACAGTTGAGGATACCATGACAAATGATGAGCAAACCTGCAGGCAGTTTCCGCTGACACTTTTATAAAGCATAATGAAGTATAATGTTATGAATAAAGAAAACTGTAAAAAAAAATTTTTTTTAAGTGAGAATTATGCCTGTGTAATACTTAACTGTTTTTGTAAACTGATCCATACATTTTCTTGTTTTAGACCTATTCCATCTGGGCTAGCAGTTGTAAAAACAAAGCAGAGTGCAATGAACTCCACCCGTCTGTTTCTGTGGTACAGGTAATTATCTTGATTTAGAGAAATTTTTACTTCTTAATTCTTGATAAGAACATAGTTTTTAGAGGCAGAGAGGTTTGAGATCAAACTCCAGAAAATGCAGGGACGTTAGTAATCTTTCTAAAGTCCTACCTTCCACTGTAGTAATAGGGATATTAAAGTATCTTTCACAGGGTTGTGTATTAAATCATATGATGCAGCTCAGTATTTGTCACTTAATAGGCACTTAGAAAATGGTAATTCTCCTCATATTTGCTTTTTTATCATTTATTCAAATTTCTTTATTTCTTTACTTAATCATAGTTATTATCTACTATGTATTAAGTACCATGCTAGATGTAAGAGGCTCAGTGTTAAACAAGATACAGCTCCTGCCTTCAAGAATCTTATAGTCTAATAGAGATGTGGATTACTAAACATTCATTTGTTTAATGAATTTTTTTATTCATTTAACAAATACTTGAATACTTATTATTTGCTAGATGTTACATCAGGGGATGCAGTGGTTAACCAAACCAGATAGTTCCTACCCTCATGAAGCCTATATTCTTCTATTACAGATAATAATCATGTAATAACCACATAATTATAAATAGAAGTACATAATGTTATAAGGAAATATAATCAGAGTATATGACCTACTTAGAGTTGTAGGGAAGGTGATCAGGGGTCAGAGATGATTTCCCTGAGAAAATTAAACTGAGAATGGAGGTTTGAAGGCACAGCAGGCAGCAAGAACTTGGGACCTGTAGAGGAAGAGAGCATGGTATGTATATTCAAGGAACTTAAAGAAGGCCAAGGGGGCTGGAAGTCAGACAGCAAGCATCTAGAAAAGCCGGTGACAATGACTGAGAGGTGGGCAGAGGCTGAGGGGCAACTCAAATCAGATTTACGTTTTGCAAAGATACAATACCTCTGTGATTAGTGTGGGGTTGGTTGAGCACAGCTTGCTTTGGAAACACCTGGGAGTTTTTCCTAACCTATCTTGATATCTGAACAGTGTTCATGGAGAAAGTAGTGTCTAAGCTGAGGTCTGAAAGATGAGTAGCCCAGCAAGAAGGAGCAGGGGGAATTTCTGGAGGATCTTCTCTTAGGTCTTTAGTTCTCGTCAATGCAAGGACTATTTTATTTCTCCTAAACCTCTACATAGTCAGTAACACCAAGCATATGATAGACTCTCCAAATACAATTGATAATGAAATTTTAAGCATTATACTATAGTTGCATAGCATTTTTCTGACTTCTACAGACAATAGTAGTGCTTACCTATAACTCTTTGTATATTATATCTGATATCATTTCTGTGATTCACAGGATGGGAGGGAGACATTACCACACCCAGTTCACCAGTACAGAACAATAGGCATGTAAGGAGAGCTAAGGGAGAGAGTGGCTGCACATAGAATAACACTAACATAAGCACTCCTGAGGCGTATTGCCTGCATTCCCAGGCACCACCCTCTGTGTACTCACATTTCCAGAGTTACTTTTTTTGTAAGGGCCTCAGCTTCTCCATTGCAGAATAAAAGAATGAATGGGGAACACACGCTAAAATAAGGACTAATTTTATTGTCTGCTACTTCTGTTCAACTGCATTTGTCTACCATTGTAAAAGTTAAGAGCATCCAAGTAACTTCAAATGCTACAAATTATGTCCGTATCCTGACCACACCACATTTCACTTTTACAGTTAGATGCGAACAGATGTGTGTGTGTGTGTGTGTGGTAGGACATTGTGATTATTTATTCAGCCTTATGTGAGAGAGAGATATATAGATATATCTATCTATATATATTCTTAGAGTACTTATCTGAGGGGGCTCCTTTAAGATTTTAAACATGTTTAAATTCCTAGTATCCAGTTGGAAAGTATTTTCCCAGCCCAGCCCAACAGAAGGCTTATGCAATAGTCCTTAAATCCTGTCCTTTTGGTTTTACCCACCAGTCTGTATTGAAGTTTCCAGAAAGATTTAGCTATAGAACAGGTAATTAACCATAAACAGCATATATAAAGTGCTTAGCACAGTAACCACTGAGTTATAAATGCCAATCAAATTTTAAGCATTATTATTATTTCTGTATCAAGCTAATAAGAATAATTCCCCAAACCCCAGTTGTCTTCTCCATTATTTCTTTGATTTCCTACTTCCCTAATCCCATTGTTTACTAAGTATATGACACAATACAAGACTTGAATATACCAAAGAAATGAAATACACATTGGGAAATGGTACATTACAGGCAGAAAGAAGAAAAGTGACTTGCTTAGGACTATTCCTAGATTTTCTTTTCTGTTGCTCAGGGTCGTGATTTATATATATTTATATATATGTCATTCTTTCCAGCATTTTACAGCTTATGTAATTCTTTAATAATTCATTAAATGCCTTTATGTTTAAGGGCTTTATTTAGGTCTCACCTTCATGATTTTTATTATTTACATATACCACCTATACTATTAATTACCTAATGTTTCTTTAAATGACCCACAGTGTGTGCTAGAAGTACCTCATATATGTTTTCTTACTTACCGTTCACATCAAACTTTCAAAGAAAAGCTTATCTCCATTTGTATGAAGAAATAGACCCAAAAGGTTATGTGCCTTGTTACAAGTCCCAGAACTAATACAAGCAAAAGATCAGATTCAAACATTAGTCTCTTTCATGGTATGGCCTATGAGAATCACTGAATTTAATTATACTTGAGTAGTTCACTTTGGCTCCTTTTCCCCAGTGATAGAGTTATCCATATATCTCCTATTTCCTCATCTTTTATGTATCTCAGAGATTTTTATCATAGATTCTTTGACAAGATGGCAAGGTGATCAACACTGAATATGGGGTTTTCTCTGAAGTGTAAATAGGTTTTTTAATCCTTTTATAAGAGAAAGTTTTGAAAGGTAGTTGTGAAAGTGGAAATACTGTTTTTCTTTACAATTGCTTGCTTCTTTATAGGAAGGGTAAATCCTAAGGAGAGTTGTTTAACTGGTTATTTAATGTGATACTATGAGTTGGAGGTTTAGGAAATACAACATTGTTCTACCTGGTACAAAATATAGGAGGGAGGGGTGAAGGCCCAGGAGCCCAAAATCTGGAGATTCTTTTGAAGAAGAAAAAATCCAGAGAGAAAAATATATTACATGTGGATGCAGCTCAAGACATTATTCGCCAGGCTGTCAAATATGAAGACATTTTAAAAGCCATGCCATTTCCCATACTAACATGGCTGTCAGTGGAAGGAAGCTTTTGAAGAGAGTCAAGAAAGGGGTGGCTGATACTTTATGGAAAGAGGAAAATTATATCATGGGATTTTATGAAGTTTTGCCACATAAATATATCAACTTTTTCTAAAGAAAGGGCATCAGGCAAGTTTGTATTTATTCAGTATACATAAAATTGTTCAGCCATGTACCACCTAAAATCTGCATTGGTATGCAGCGTACAGACCATATGTGAGACATACAGTTTGGGTAGACTCTAGAACAAAAATAACTTTAAAAAAACATTGTATATGTATCAAGTTCAATAACATAAAGAATAAGGTTGTCACTTAAAGGAAAGCTTCAGGCAAAATGCTTTTCAATAAAAAGATTGTTAATATTTATCTCTGTGGTTTTTCTTTAGATTTTAGCCTTCATCCTAATAAGGAACATCCCTGGATATGCTCGTTCAGTTTACAGTTCATTTTTTGCTTGGTTTGGAAAAATTTCATTAGAGGTAGGTACAATACTATTTTGCTTTATGTTACACAGCCAGGTGTTATGTGTTTATGTGTTCATGTACATGTGTATGTGTATATTTATGTGGGTGTGTAAGTCTGACATATACTTTTTTATAAACCAAAGCCATCATCCATGGAATTACAAGGAAAAGACTCAGAACTTTTAACAGAAGTAAAGTATTTTAGAATGTTTTTAAAGCCTTATTTTAAAATGACTAGACATGGGTGACTTTCAAAATATTCTTTACATTGTCTTAAGCTGAGATCAGGAGAGAAAAATATTGGACCAGATATAAATGAAATAAAGCTTGAGGGAATTTTAATTTGTTGTTCATCTCCATAATTGAATATTATATTACTCTAATTCAGTTTATTGATACTAACCATAATAAAGTCCACCCTTATTATGATTGGAATTCCAACTTGTTACATTTTTTGTGAGATACACAATATGAAATTATCTATAAAATTGGTTGAGACAGTAGGTTTTGAAATACATTCTGAATAGTATGAGCTTTATTATTTGAAATAGAATGTTTTAAAACAATTCATATTGTAATCATAACAGATACATTTTAGAGCATGCAACTTAAGTTGTCTTTTAAAATAGGGAAAATAAATTTCTCTTTGAGTTCTTGAAAAAATGTTCTATGTTTTCTTTAGTCTCATTTATAAGAAGGATTGTATAGAGGTCAGAGTTCTAGGGTGTAGACTGCAGTGGACTTTTCAGGGCCAATAGTGAGACAGAATTAAATGGTTTTGGAAAAGCCTTCTTACATTATTATGCTATCAAATGTTTAAATTAGAAAAAACTGATTTATTCTTGGACCCTCTTAAAATATCTAACTTTAAATATTTTTCCTCCTAGCTATTTATTTGCCAATATCACATATGGCTGGCAGCGGACACAAAGGGTATCTTGGTACTCATACCTGGAAACCCTATGCTCAACATCATTGTCAGCACTTTTATATTTGTTTGTGTGGCACATGAAATTTCTCAGATCACTAATGATCTTGCCCAGATTATTATTCCTAAAGATAACTCATCTCTCTTGAAAAGGTTGGTATGTATAGCTACATTTTTTTGTGGACTCCTCATCTTATCATCTATTCAAGATAAATCAAGACATTAAGTTCCTAAAATCCTAAAAAACTTAAATGCTTCAGGCTTACTTTTTGTCTGCCTAGAGGACAAAAGCATCTATCTGGCGATATAAATGTACATGTAAATATAAACATGTGGCAAGAGGACAGTTCAGTGATGTCTGTGGAACATATATGGTTGTATATATTGGAAATGTACATATCCAATGTGAAATACTAAAAAATAATTGATGAACCAGAATGCATTGTATAGGACTGCATGTGAAAAGTCTTTTCTACTGTATCTATATTTCCGTTTATAAATGATTTTAAGTTAACATATGAAGGCAGGGAAATGATTACCTTTCCAGTAAAAAGTATAGATAATTTAATTAGCTTAGTGACACCACTGAGTGTTTTGATATTACTAAATTTGTGGTAATAAAACTGTCTGCTTCTATATTCATTGTGGAACTTACTACTTCGTTGAAAATTTTCTTACTCAAGAATGACTGCAGTATTGTTTTCTTATAAGTGCAATGATGTGGAATGATAAACAGTATGCCTTTAATTTATGTGCTCATGTTCTGATGTTATATGTTTCCTGACATGATTTTTCTTTCTAACTGTGGTTTTCAGATAGACAAGTCTAAATCTTTGTACACTTTGTCTCACAGAGTTATTCTTTTTTTTTTTTTTTTTTTTTTTTTTTTCCGTG